ACTCGCTTGAGCCCAGGAGTTGGAGGTTGCTGTGAGCTGTAATGCCACGGCACTCTGCCCAGGGGGACAGCTTGAGGCTCTGTCTCAAAAAAAAAAAAAATTAAAAACAAACCTCAGCGCCCATAGTTCAGTGATTAGGGAGCCAGCCACATATACCGGGGCCAGCAGGTTTGAACCCAGCTTGGGCCTGATAAAAAATAATGACAACTGCAACAAAAAAATAGCCTGGCATTGTGGTGGGCGCCTATAATCCCAGCTACTTATGAGGCTGAGGCAAGAGAATCGCCTAAGCCCAAGAGATTGAAGTTGCTGTGAACTGTAAGGCCATGGCACTCTACCTAGGGCGACATAGTGAGACTCCGTCTCAAAAAAAAGAAAAAGAAAAAAAAGAAAAAACAAAAAAACCCAAAAGCAAACTATTCATAAGGAAACCATCGATGATAAGAGTATTTAAAATAACCACCCAAAGCCTAGTTTTTTATTTCTTTGTTTTTGGTACAGGGTCTACTATCTCTCTCCAGGTTGGTCTTGAACTCCTGGGCTTATGCAATCCTGCTGCTGCAACCTCCTGAGAAGCTGGGATGATATGTGAGAGCCACTGTCCCTGGCTTTTGTTTTGAGCAAAGCCTATGGCATTAAATAAAGATTTAAAGTAACTATAGGGTAGGATCCTTAAACTACAATAAGATTTTATTTCTGTATTCCTATGTTTCTGAAATCCAACACATCTTACAACTGATATGTATATTTACTGTACCAATGCTTAATATAAAAACCTTTATAAATTAATAGCTGTTTAAGAAACACAGGAAAAATAAGAAGTGCTTGTCTAAACTGGATTTTCTTTCTTTTTTTTTTTTTGTAGAGACAGAGTCTCACTTCATTACCCTTGGTAGAGTGCCATGGCGTCATACAGCTCACAGCAACCTGCAACTCCTGGGCTTAAACAATTCTCTTGCCTCAGCCTCCCAAGTAGCAAGGACTACAGGTGCCTGCCATAATGCCCAGCTAATTTTTTGTTGCAGTTTGGCCAGGGCTGGGTTCAAACCCGCCACCCTTGGCATATGGGGCCGGCACCTTACTCACTGAGCCACAGGCGCCGCCCCCTCTACCCTGGATTTTCCCTAGAAAGCAGAAAAATAAGAAGTGCTTGTCTAAACTGGATTTTCCCTAGAAAACAACAGCTTGGGCTCGGCTCCTATAGCTCAACTGGCTAAGGCGCCAGCCATGTACACCTAAGGTGGCGGGTTCGAATCCCCAGCCTGGACCCGCCAAACAACAA